GGTTCTTCGGGACATAGGTTCAGATCACAAGGGCATGTCATACGGAAAGGCAGCTTTGCAGTTTGGGGTCCCCAAAGCAGCGATTATTGATCATGTAAAAGGCAGCATAAAAGAAAGGTCTAAGCCAGGCCGAAGCTGTGAGATGGATCCAGCTTTAGAAAACAAAATAGTTTTGAGCGTCCTGGAGGCATCGAAGGCGGGGTTTCCTTATACAAAACGTCGCCTTCTAGCAATGATAGGAAATATTGCAAATCCAGATTTAAAAAGTGGAATTCCTGGAGAGCGGCATTGGAGGAAACTGAAAGTACAGCACCACGAACTGACCATTCAAAACCCTGAAGCTCTACCTCAGTGTAGAATGACAATGCTGAACAACATTGTCACGAAGCACTACTTTGATGACCTGGGGAAACTGTTAGCTGAATCCCATCTTATGTCGCAGCCTCACTGCATTTGGAATTGTGACGAAACTGGGATTCAGCTACAGCACAGGCCAACCAAAGTGGTTGCTCAGTAAGGTGTAAGGGGAGGGGGGGGGGGGGAGAGAGAGAGGGAGGGGACGGGGAGAGGGATAAGATAAGCATGGAAAACTACTACTACACAGAAGATGAATCTGAGGAGGGGAGGGGGGTGACAGCAGGTGTGACAGGGTCTCACGACAATATCACAGTATTTACACCAGTCAGTACCTAATGATTATCGTGAAGGGAAAAACACAGACAATGTCTAAAGGGAGCTGTGTAGACTTATCAGAAGTCTGGGTGGATGGAAGGTCTTTTGGGAGTCCAATGGTTCAAACAAGTTTTTCTAAAACATTTTGGAGAAGATTGCCACCAGCTTCTCCTGTTGGGTTCACCCAGCTCCCATGAGCTGTGGATCTATTTGAAACAGCAAGGAAAGAAAATATTCACATATGTGTCTTTGAACCATTTAAAAAATATTATTGGGCAGCATGCACTGAATTTCTGTCGGAGCACCCAGCAAATGTAATTAGTAAAGGCACCATTTAAAAAGCTTTCCAGGCTACCGGAATATATCCATTTGATCCCATCATTGTCACAAGAAGTGACACATTACCAAGTGAGGTATTTGACTGGCAAGCACCTCCAACACCAGTGGCAAGCGATCATCAAGTTCAACCCATTGCTTCTGTCTCTCAGGATATGGCCACGTTCGAGCAAGCATATGCTCCCTCTGCTCCTGAAGCGACAGTGGTTGATGCGGCAGTCCTTAATACTGGCCCTTCCTCAATACTGACCATTGGTGGTCACCTCCTGATGACCAAAATGAATTTATAGGCGGATATTTTAAAGCTTGCCATAGACATAGGTGGCATTGAAGAGGAAGCCTTTGACCAAGCTGCAAGTGAAAACAGAATGGTAGAAACAAATGAGAGCTGGTTGACTGAACTATCAAATGTTTTTGAGAAACCAGTCTTGCCAACGGCTAAATTAAAAAAAAAAGCTCAGCTCGGAAAATAACAACACATAGGTTGTTGACCAATGATGAGGTCATTCAAATGAAGCAAAAACAAGCTGAGGAAAAGGAAATCAAGTTGAATAAGAAGAAAAGACGGGCAGATATGATAAAAGAAAAGGCTGCGAAAAAGATCAAAAACTGTTCTTGTGTTGAAGGCCCGCCTGCAGTTATTTTCAATATGTTGTTTGTAATTAACTATTAATAAATTTTCTTTTTTACTGTTAAAAATGTCGCTGTGTTTACTTCTTTTTTTCTTTTTTCCAATTGAAGATAAAGCTATTTTAAAACTTTTAATTACTTCTTTAGGTGGCTTATGTTTTTTTTAGCGCAATTTCCATTCTGGAGAATTGCGTTTATTAACTCGTCATTTCTGGGAATGGATGGATGGATGAATGAATGAATGGATGAATGTGTGTCCGGGCTTTAAGTCGTATCTCCTCAACGAAGCAATATCGATGACTAGTTCCAAAAGCAATTATGTTAAGCAAGTTACGAGAATGAGCATAGGCCATAAAAATTCCGGGTTTCTTACATGTATTTCCCGTAAAAGCCAAAAAACCTCGAAAAAATGCAGTTTTTGGCCCATATCTCGGCAACCAGACCACTTAGCGACTTGAAACATGTACCAATCGATTCCTGCCATAATTTAGAACAATATTGCCGAAGAAAGTTTTCAAAAATATCCTCTCGTTCAGTCACAAATTTTAAAATTACATAAACACCTACAAACCGATCGCTCTTCTAGCTTGAACGCACCCCATCATTATACGTCAGAGCTATTTTTAGATAACATAAGGAAATTGCGCATAAATGTCACTAGACTTTTTTAATTAACTTGCGCGCCTACTGAACGTGATGGCACAGCCATGGAACGCGATGACGCATCTATTGAACGTGATGACGTGTGTGGTGTGGTTGTATATACATGCCGGAAGTAGAGATCTATCATCTTAATGATTATCATGTTGATAATCAAGTTCAACTAACCAATGGTTTTACTAACCCTGCTCTTGATTTACGCTACGACAGAGCTATTTTTAGATAACATAAGGAAATTGCGCTAAAATTGTCACTAGACTTTTTAATTAACTTGTTTTAAATAATAGACCTAAGGTCATATTCCTAGAGCGGTCGAAGTTAGAACAAGACACTAGTCAAAGTTAGAGCAACCCGGTCGAAGTTAAAACCAAAATAAAAAATTGGGTCAGTGTCTAGGCTTGCATATCGTATTATTTCCTTCATAGCGATTGCTTGACTATAAATGCCAAACCAATCAGCAGAGGATAACGTTTTTTAACCAGTGAAAAAATGAAAACCGTATTAGTGATGCAAGCAGCAATCGTTTAGGTGCTCTATTGAGTCAGCAACAGATGGTATGAAAGTTTTTTTTGCTTTTGCTAGTTAATCACTGCACCTAAATGAAAGAAACATAAAGAACTACAGTGCCCTTACACAGGGATTACCAGCAATAAATAAGTTCACAGGGTATTTACTGGCTGGTAAGAAGTTGATGGTTGTCTTGCAACAACCTGTCAGCTACATCAATATATCAGAAAAAGGCAATAGTACATTGTTGGATTGCAGAGGTTAAGTACAGGTCTGGCAAATCAAATGGAAATGTGGATGCCCTGTTGAGGTTTCCCATAGGAAACTTGACAGACTGCATTTTACTGCAGGTTGTTGTGAGTTTTTTATAAAGTTTTTTAATGTAAGTTTCTGTTATGATGCATGTTATGATCTATGCTATAGATCGGGGCGAATGAATGTTGGTGCGAAAGGTATGTTGAAAGGCACAGAATCTGAGCATGTTGACTAATTGGCAACACAATTGTCTACTGTGTCTGCCCTTATTTCCCTAAGGGGAACACAATTTACACCCGCCATGCAGTGACCAACTTCAAATCAGCTAGGCCACATGGCCCGCAACTGCAATCGAAACATAAGACTCTGTCTAGCATTTGATTTGTTCAGTTATTTTTTTTAACCCTTTACCTACTGATGGTACTACTTTAATTATCGCCTATTTTATTTTTAATCAAAGTTGAATTTTTAAAATGATTAATATAATTAATAGTTTTATTTCCCCTGAGTCACCGGTAATTGAATTGGGTGTGGCATGTGGTGTGTGGGTGCACTTTGGCTTAGAGCAAAAATTTTGATTTCTTTTGTTTGTGTACGTGATGGCGGCACAGGGAGGGACATTTTGTGGGAATGTTGAGGCATGTGTGGTTAAGTGTTTCAGTTTCTCTGTTGTATTTTTTTTGTTTTTGTAAAGTGGATCTTTTTGTACGGTGCTTTATTCTGTTTTACTTTTTTTTAATGAATTTGCTTATCTGTCTAAGACAGCGACTTGGGTATTAAGTATTTAGACTTTTTTTGAGAAGTTGCAATGGTTGTAGTTCTAGACTATGTGGTGGTATGCTGGTCTGGGTTAAGTCATGTACCAATGTAAATTTTTCTACTTTATTTTATGAGAGCCTCATGTTAAGGTTGATATTTAATTGTTGTGCTCCATGAGCTAGTATTTTAATGTTCAGTGACCTGATATTTTTAGGTTTTTACAAGTTTGTTCCGTGTGAACTACTTGCGGATTATTAATTAAGATTTAATCTTGTCACCCCTCTTTATCTTTAAAAGTTCAACTTGTACATTATCCATTTTCAATTGTGTGACAGCAATAAAACCATTTTAGTTTTTAAATGATTTTTATGTATCTGTTCTCTTTTCAGGTTTGATTGTTGTCCAATTGGGTGTTTAGTAGACTATGCTTTGTTGCTTTTAGTTGTTTTATTTTGTAGTGTTTTTATTTAGTAGTTTTTATTTTTTTAGTGAATTTGGTTCCATCTATCCTGTTTGATAAATTTAATAAATGAAGTTTTTCTTGGTTTTATTTTAGTTTAAGACTAAGGTTAGAATTTTACCAGTCTGGGTTCTGCCAGACTTGGACTGACCCAATAGTTTAATAAAAGGGATTAGATTAGACATTCCCCCACCTCCTGTAAGGGCTAAGAAAGAGACTACCTAGTCTAAGTGTCTGAGAGGTCGAATACAAACCTCTTTAGGTATTGTGTATATATATGACTCAATCCAATGTGTCAACCTATTAGCAAATAAACTTCATATGACAACCTGAATTCTGTCATGTAATTGTCACTATGAAACATATGTAAGTAAGGCTGGTTAAATCAGAACCCTCACATTTACAGTTGAGTAGATCATTTGGTAGTAGAATGCTATAGCGGGCAGTTGGATAGCAAAAGTGTATAGGATAGTAGATGACAGTTGAGTTAGGGGTAGGATATTTTAAACTTGTGTACAAAGTAAATAAAACTGAACATTATTGAACTGGACTTGTGTCAGCAATTGAATAATTTCAGTCTGTATGGCATTAGAAGAATCAATCCCCTAACCCGATATATACACATTACAATATACATGTACTAGCTTATACAAGTGCTACACTAAAAATTTTAAAATGGCACATGCTCTCAGCTGTCTGCCCACTGCCCAGATTTCCCATCTCCCCTTACCTAGGGTGTAATTTGAACTGCTGATGAACAATAGTTTTCCTGGGTTTCCGCGCCCAGGGAGAGACTTCCCCCATCCATGAAATGCTTGCCATACACCAAAATGTCAATAAAGATAAGGTTGCCACACTTAGGACTGACAGAATGACACATCTGGCCATTTAAATTATAGATATTAAAACTTCTCAGAGTAATTATAGACTGTTCCCCTATGTGGTTTTTGCAGCATAAATATGGTAGGAGATAATTCTACAGAAGTTTAAAGTTTTGCAATGTTATGTAAATTTTGTAACTAAAGAAGTAATACATTGCTTTTGACAAAAGTCAGAGATATGTTCATTTTTAAGGTTTAAATATTTACCTAATGTGTTAAAAAGGAAGTTCTAAAATTTCTAATCCATTTTTTAATTTTGAAATCAAATTAGACAGCAACAGTGTTTAGTAAACAATATAACAAGTGCTGGAAAATGTTTGAAAAAAGCTGATCACATCGAAAAGCTAAACAAAAAGTAAATACTGAACTAAACAGCCAATAACTTTGGCCAAATCAGAAATAGTCTAACAATACATGTTTTTTAAATATTTCTACATTAACTTTTCATAGGCACACACATACCTAAAAACTACATGACTGGCATTGTTTCAGAAGAGCTTTCTGTATACCATTTTCTTTGATGCAGCATATGAAGTCTGCAACTGATAGCTTTTCACTTCCCTTCCATGAGAACTCTGTCCCAACTTTTTTAGTATCAGTCCTATTTGAGAGACGTGTTAGAATATCCATACAAGAAACCTGGAGAATCTGCGCAGCTTGTCCTTCAATTTGTGACAACAGTTCACAGTGATGACAAAGCACACTCCATAGTAATTCAACATCCTTTACACTTTTGTTGACTATTACCTGAAGACAAAAACAAATTAATTAAAAAGTCTAGTGACATTTAAGCGCAATTTCCTTATGTTATCTAAAAATAGCTCTGTCATAGCGTAAATCAAGAGCAGGGTTAGTAAAACCATTGGTTAGTTATTAAAACATTTTTATTAATTTTTTTTTCAGTATTTTACATGTTTTATTTACAATAGAGTTACATGACTAAAAACCATTGCGCGCCTAGCTACCGAACGTGATGTCGCAGCCATTGAACGTGATGGCGCAGCTATTGAACGTGATGACGTGTGTGGTGTGGTTGGATAAAAATGCCTACTAATTCGGTCCAATTTTAATTAATTAAAAAAAAATTTTGTGACCGAACGAAAGGATATTTTTGAAAACTTTCTTCGGCAATATTGTTCTAAATTATGGCAGGAATCGATTGGTACATGTTTCAAGTCGCTAAGTGGTCTGGTTGCCGAGATATGGGCCAAAAACTGCATTTCTGCGAGGTTTTTTGGCTTTTCCGGGAAATCCATGAAAGAAACCCGGAATTTTTTTGGCCTATGTTCATCCTCGTAACTTGCTTAACATATTTGCTTTTGGAACTAGTCCTCGATATTGCTTCGTTGAGGAGGAGATACGACTTAAAGCTGCGGACACACATACATCCATACATTCATTCATCCATCCATTCCCAGAAATGACGAGTTATTAAACGCAATTCTCCAGAATGGAAATTGCGTTAAAAATGTACTATTTCATCAAACAATATTTAAGAATTTTTAAAGATCGCAACTGGAAAGTGTGATACAGTTTAAAATAAATGTAATAGGTAAAATTTCTACACTTCTTTTTACAAAAACATAAAACTGCTTATCTGATAAAAGTGACTGTAATAGCAGATAAAATGAGGATCCAAAAAAATTGAATGTACCTGTGATGCTGTTTGGTAATTGGACACAACAACACCAAGTGTAGCCTCATTCACACTACTGTCACAAAGTAACAGAGTTGCATTTGTCAATAACTGGCTTGCTTCAATCAACAAAAGAGTTTCTGGAAATGATTTTAAAAAGCAAATGTTTCAAACAACATTATTTTATAAGTAAAATAAGAATGAATATAACAATTCTGCCACTTCACTAATAAAGTTTATTTACCTTTATCTAAATTAGTATCTGTTACAAAGGAGAACTTTAGATCAGAAGACAAGTGAAGTTCTAGGAATCCTAGAAGCACTATGATGATATCAACAAGGCGAGGCATCTCAGACACTAGTGATGATTGCAAAATCTGGAGAGAAAAAAAGTGCTATTGCTTAAGTGAGTTCATATATTTAAAAATTAAAGTGAAATGGTAATCAATAAAATTAGAATTGTTATATTTACATGATAAATCAGTATCATTAAATTGTCATGACTGGCTGATAATTTTGTGTGAATCATCAGCTGTTTTACTTCCAAGTGCATTTCATCATTGATGAGTGCCAGCTGTGTCAACAACATCAAGATCCTTATTTCTGAATAGTAATTGAAAACAGAAACACTAAATGAAATTTGAAAGGAAAATGGGAATATGTCTCAGCTTTCCATCCCTAAAGGTCTTAATAATATAAAAAAAATAGAAATGGAAATTTTACCATTTTTACCACTTGAGAGATGCTGACTTGTAAGAGACAACAGAAGAGATGGTACCTATTTTTAAAGTTTAAAATGTTAAGAGGAATCTTCAAGAACATAATGAATGTAAATTTCAAATACAATCTGTAATCAAAGGAATACTAACCTCTAAATCACAGAAGAGATCTAATACAGGTCTAAGAATAGAAACATGAAGCAGGCCAAATTTCAATGCCTGTTGTTTGAGCCAGTAAAAACTAGCTTCTGTGGAATATGGTAAGTTAAACAAAGTGAAATAGTAGTATAAGCTATCTGTTGTTCTAGGAACTATAACTTTTTAACAATATTTTACTTTTTTATGTAGATGTAAATTGATGTCTCAAACCATTATAGTACTACTTAAATTTTATATTTTTTACACTTTATATAGAAATACACATTGCACACAATCATAAGACAGGACAAAGATCATTTTCTCAATTTTCAAGATATCTTTCAGACATTCACAGCTTATTTTTAAACCACTTGAACTTACCAGAAAACTTAGATGAAAATTTGATTATTGCAGTTGTAAGATGACACAGACACTGTTGACATTCTTTCCTTATCGACAACCTTTTCTTATCCAATTCCCCACCAACAATAATTACGTAGTTTTGAGCATACAGATTAGCCAGAACGAGTAGCAGTGGAAATGGATGTAGCTAAAGAAGGCATAAAATGTGTGATTTTTTATACATATTTTAATTATAATATATACTTTATATATTTTATTATTATTTTAAATAAAGTAATTCAAGTTAAAGCTGGACTTTATAATGATTTCTAAGTTTGTTATTCATTTTTTCTCTACAGGCATTGTTAATTGAACCATAAGAAGCAAGTGCCCATCTTAGACTCATAATTTAGCTCAAAAATTAAGTAATATGCACCTATGGTAGTAAGCAGCAATAATAACCAGCTGTCACTGTGATGGGTCCACCCAGCTCTGATGGGAAAGTAATGGAGACTGGACCTAGTGCTAACCACACTATCAATTCATGTTGTGATCACACAAACAGGTGAACTCTGACCCATGGACTGAACTGACAGGTTTGAAAGGGTAACTTTTTTTAAAATCAAAGATGGGTGGTAGCTAAACAAAGATTGCTATAAAACTTCCCCAGAGTGGCAACAATCTGTATTACACTAGATAAAAAGACAGAATACTGACTAAACACAAAAAAGTAGACATTTTGTAAATGTGCACTTACCACCATCAACTCTAATTCTTTTATATTATCTAATAATGCTGATAGTATTTTTAGAGAAATCTCTGGTGTAAGTAGACAACCAAGGCTTGCTCCTTCCTTATTCTTTGATCTATCCAGCACAATATCTATTCTCTCATTTTCTTTATCACTGTTCATCTCAAAGTAAAGGCTTGGCAAAATTATGTGCTTCAACACTACATCTGATGATACAAGACTTCTTACTTCCAGAGACAAATGTAATGTTGGATCTATCAATACACTGGACCTCTGAAAATAAATACCAAAAGCTGAAAACACTGAACAAAAATAATTTAAAAATGCCTTTTTTTTCAATATGGCAAAAGTAAAAATCCTAAACAAAGACACTATTAGAGTATTTTAATTAAACCTTGGTATTATACAGGATACTAGTAAGGAAATAACTCCTCTAAAATGAGCACTTACCTTGCAAATTAAAGATAAGAATTGTACAATGTTTCTTGATCTATTTTCATTTAGTTCACACTTATTCAATACATCAAGTAGGCAGCTCACTAGCCAGGGAAGGTTGTTTTCAGAATGAATGATATTACAAATATTGGACATCTGGCTAAGAACCTGAAAAAAATAATTTTTTCTTATTTCATACAACATGATATAGAATATTAATTTTTTTCCCCACTTTATCATACTATATTTAGGAAAATGCATTGTACTACAGATAAAGCTTATGGACAAAATTGTATAATGAATATTCCAATGTCTTATATTTTTACACAATAATGCATATATTTTAAAGAAGAAAATAAATAAAATAGTAAGTTAAAAGTCTCTGTTGAGCGATTAACTTGCTTATATTAAGAAATAAAGATTTAATGAAGTGAAACCTATAAAAAAAATAACAAAATAGTTTGAAGAAATAAATCTTACTTCAACAATAATTGTGACCTGAGCCATGTTTTCCACTGCTACATGAATGCTTTGTTTAATGACAGTGTCCAGGTCATACAGACACAGTTGTAGAATGTGAGGCATCATCTACATTCATGATTTAAAGAATAATTAAGTTTAACAAACTTTAAATTACTAACAGAAGTAGCAAATAAAACTGTTTTAGAAATACTTGTATGAATTAAGACACAAGATATCAATCTAAGTAGTAAATAATCTGTTAGAAACTGCGAAGTTCAAGACAGTGACAAGTTGCCTTACTGCTGTTATGCTGGTCATGGTGAGTTTGTTTAACACTGGAGTTAGCTGATTAATTATTTCCTGTTCACTTAAAATCTTTAGTGTGTTGCACAGACTTTTTGAATTATAGGCTTCAGTTTGATTTATCAATGAACTTCCACAAAGGTAAGATAAAATGACCTGCTCTTGAAGTGGCACAGGCAGACGTCTGAACATTATAGTAAACAACTGTAATAAACAAAAATCAGATGAATGAAAATAAGCAATGTAATGGGAGATTTCATGAAACAATACTGCTGAAATAGATAAGGATTCAATAACCCCAGTTATATGCTAAAGCAGAAAGTATAAAAAATAAAAAGGTTCTCCAAACTACTTATTAAAGTTCTACAATTATGTTTTGTCTTTGTATTGTCAAGAACATGAATTGGTAAAAACTTAAGATAAAAAATTAGCAGATAAAAAGATTTAGTACCCATAGTCTTAAAAGCTTTTGCTTTGGTTTAGAACAAATCTACTATTGGCTTGTTTTTAAAAATTGGCTTGGAGTACTTAATAAAAGCATTAAGTAACTTAATTAGAGAAGAGTTTCAAAGTGCTACAAAATTTACCACCAAACCAAAAAAAACAGCAGTGGACTGAAGAAGTAAAAAGTGGCTTACCCTATTTAGTTTTGTGACTTTGTCTTTCTCAACATGATTTTTACATGCAAAACATACAACATTAAGCATGTGTTGGGCATTTGACTCTGTGCACAATGTTGCCTCATTATCCCAAACTAAATCATAAAATCTGTAATATAAAAAACAATTCCTGAGGTATAATGTTTAGTTGTTGAGAAATAAGAGCTATCACTATAAAGTATAGACAAAAATTTATTGAAAATAAGCAAATATTACCCTTTATCCCACCATTCAGAAATGCAGCTGTTCTTCAAGCCAACACCTAATAACTCTGATTGAGAAGAAGAAAGGAATTATGTCAAAAAGCACCTTTACACAGGTTAAGCTGTATTAATGAAAAGGAAATTTAAGCAAAAAATCTTAGTAAACATTGTCCAAAATTAAACCTAAAACTACACAAAAAATTTTAGAGCAGCATCTAAACATACTAACCTCTCCACCCTATTTCTCTATTCACAACAGCTGATTTCAACAATTCAAGATCATTCTTTCCACTAAGGTTTCTACCAGAGTGCAACAGCAGTTCAATGTCGGTCATCTGGAGACACTCTAAATCTGGAAACTGGAATACTGTACTCTTTAAACTCTCTAGCTGATCTTGGTCAAACAAATAACAAGGGCACTGGAAAGCCGATTTATCACTAAAAGACTGCAACAGCTCGATTAGAGTGGAATTTAACTTGTATCCATCAACCACATGCAGGCCAAAATTGCTGTTTTCTTTGTCTCTTAACATTTTTGAAAAAAGCTTATAAAATTCATGTCTAGCTTCTTGTTTGTCCAGACAGAAGACATTTAGTAAACAGCTGTATAATGTGGCTGACCTAAAATATAGAGTAGAGTCTATTAGCGTTTGAAAGTGATCACATTTCACACAATCACTGTTTACTGTTGAATCACTGGGATCATTAAGATGTTTGAATAGTTTGTCTAGACAAACAGTCATTTTAGGTTTGTTTTCCTGCTTATTGTTAAGGTTTTTATTTCTGTAAGAAACCTGAAAGGATTCTCTTCCATTATACATGTCTTGTAAAATTCTTGACTTTTCTTCTGAATTTGTAAATGGATTCATAACAATTAGGAATAAAGCTATGACATGAATAGTTTGTTTAAATAAAGAGACATCATCAACAATCAGTTGAAGATTCTGGCTTGAGTCTAGAGTTCTCAATAAAGACGTTAAACATAGCTTGACATGGCTTGCTAATGTGTTGGTCTCCTTGATAAATGTTTCCCTTTGTTTAATGTAGAAGAGTGAAGTTTTATCTGAAAAACAAATAAAAGCTTGACCTGTAAATAACGTTACATGAAATGAAAATATAATTAAAATGTTTTCTTACATATTAAAAAATAAAAATATAATTAAAATGTTTTCTTACATATTAAAAAATTTTTTTTTATCTTTATTACCTTTATGCTTTTGTAAATTTTCTGCATTTGTTGAAATTAAATCAAACATTATTTTGTGGAATAAGCTCAGTGCTGCCAAGTTTAGTTTAACATGACCTTTATCAACACAACCTTCAAGCTGGTTTTGTTGTAGAAATACTGTTAACTTTTCTAAAAATGTGTTGGCAATAGACATGTTCAGGTATTCCAGTGACTGCATAGAATAGAAAGAAAATCAGACTTTATAAAAGAAATGAGATTGTAATATGTAAATTAGTATATTACCATTAAAATTTAATTGTAAATCTAAGTTAATACCATTAAAAAATTTAAAAACACAGAACAACAAATATGATTTTTTACAAGGAATACTACACTTAACGTACTTCATTTAGAAGTAAAATCCAACCAAGCTGCTCATTTTTTATCAATGAAAAGTAATCCTGGCCCGAGAAACCACTTTCAGCTTGGCTCTTTCTGAGAAATATTTTAGTGACAAATAAGCAATTTATTATCTAATGAAACAAAGCTTTATAAGTTCACCTAATTTAATGATGCAATTAAGAATGAACATTTACCCAACAAATACACTTTTAAAGATGGAAACATGAATTTTCTTTGATTCTTTTCCACAAAAAGAAAGACCTGCTTTTGCCAAACATTTTTTCATCACATCAGCAAGATCTGCTATATTATCACTACTCTGTGAAAAAAAAAATGTAATGTAAGTAACCAAAATTGTCCTATAGACTAGATGTTAACAAAAACTTTTTTTAGACAAAAAATGGCTACACAGCTTTCATTATTTCTGTTTCAATATCTCAGATGGCATTACAATGCCAAAAAAATTAGCAAGCATACTAATTTTTTAATGTAAAAAAAAGTTGTTTTGTTTTGGAGGGGGGTTGCTTATAATAAGTGTTATAAAAGTTTTTTAATTATAATTATCTTAGTGAGATGCACAACAGCGAGAAGAATATGTGACATACTTGCAGATTTACAGGTAAATAGCAAAACATTTTCTTTGGTTTCTATGTTTTATTTAATTATTTTTACTTTTTTTGAGATGTGAGAAAAAAGTTTTTAACTAAATAAACTTGATCTATTATGAGCGTTGTAGGCAGTTTTTTTTCTTTCTCTAGATACAAGTCTATTATTTTAAATATTCATCAAATATGCCTATTCTTAAATCTAAACATCTTTGCTCCTATGATTGCCTGCTCACATTTTCTTTTCAGCTTATGAAAAAATCCTGGTACAGTCAGCAAGAACATTGCTATTTGAGATTGTCGATAATGTTACTTCTGTTATTCCCCCAAGTAATATGATTGATCCATTTAGAATCAAATTAGATCTACATTTTTAGATCTAGATAGAATCTAGACTAGATTTTTATCTTTCTTTTAACTTATCTCTAGTATCTAGAGTCTCTAACAGAATCTAGATCTAGTTCTATCTATATTTTATTCTAGCGAGCTACTAGCTAGAGAAGCCTGTGTAGATCTACATTGACATTCTAGACTAGAATGTAGAGTACTGGGAACAAGGGAAGATAACTTTCAGTAAAATCTGTCTAGAATTTATTGGGTTTCCTGATTTTTTTTCCCCCAATACCTTGTCTTATTAATTGAAAATAAATATAGTAGGCCTATTCCTTACTATTCTCCAAATCAACTACATATTTAAAATCTGCAGAGGTTCAGCTATAATTTAGTGTTGTTACATGTCATTTTCTTTAAATTTTTACTTGAAAAAAATATGAAAACAATATGCTTGACCTATAAATTAATTTGTAAACATAGACCTAAATATTCTGACATAATTCTGTTTACGTCTAAACTATTAGAACTTAGGGCCCTAATCACTTTAGATTATTTTATTAGTTTAATTAAAATATGAGGGCCTAATTAATTTTTAAATTTCACTTCTGAACTATAGGCCTAGGCCCTATTTATTTTTATAGAGCTTTTATAAAGCCCTAACAATTTTAAAATACTATTAATAATAGTATTATTTAGGCTTAGTAAGGGGTCATCTAATAATCTATTTAAGACATCCACAAAAATTTTGGATAAAAATCAATCAAGGCCTAATTAATGTTGACCATGTTCAATAGATATTTTAGAAAAATTTGCTGGTTTTATTTTTTAAATTACAGTCTTGAGAGGTTTGATAGGCGAAGGTGTGCTGTTGTTTTAAGTGTTGTGTTCTAGCTTTTGAAGATTTAATTAAGATAGGTGATGGTGAGGGAGGGGAGGTAAAAATAGGCCTAGTTAAAAATCATGATGTTACGTATGATATGGATGTCCCTAATGGGGTACAAATAGATCTACTGTTCGTACTTCATTTACTTACACGCTGAGCAAAGTTTTTTAAAAACAAGCACTGTCATCTTAATTCCACTTTTACATGCAGGATACAAGTTTTATTTGTGGAGAATGTTTACACCGGCGTCCGATAATGGCATCTTCTTTAAAAAAGAGGTGTTAGGTTACTGGTAGTTAACTAAATGCACACATGGCTGGCTAATGTCAATGCTAACCCTGTCCCTAACCATAACCCCAACCCTGGTCCTACCATACGCCTAACCCTAATTTCTACCCATAAAATTAGTTGAGATAACAATACTACTAACAACCCAACACCCCTTTTTTAAAGAATATTCCATTATCAAACACCAGTATCTCAGAGGCATAGCGATGGGGGGGGGGGGGGGGGGGGGGGGGCAGAGGGGTACATATGTCCCCGGGCGCCTACCTTAAGGGGCGCCAAAATGGGTAGTTAAAACAAATTAAAATGTTATTTGAGCTGCATTTTTGCATTATATAGTATGGTGGGGCCGGGGGGGGGGGGGTGCAAATTGAAAATTTGCTCTCGTGGGGGCGCCAGCGCCGGGAAGGGTCGCTACGCCTCTGCAGTATCTATAATCATCCTTTATGGGTTTTAAAATGTAAGCACTTCCATGTTAAAATTCAATATGTGGACTTCCACATGGCCCCAACAAACCCCATCCCTCCCTCCATCCATTTCACACCACAAGTCATCTCATAAAGATGATAAATGGATGACCCATAAAATCATCATTAAATCATGGGATAAAAATTAGGCCACATTTGCGCAGTTCGCTCAGCGTTACTCTTAATCTTTACCCTAGGTGGCACGCGATCTAAAAAAAAAATGATTTTTTTTTTTCGTGGTAACAATTTAACGTTGACATAGATCTAGATCGAGATTAAGTGTATTTTCAACACCTAAGAGTCTGGTACTTGTAAAAAAAACAGTACAGTGTAGTGTCAAGGAAAGTTTGTGAGGTCAGATGGGTCAGATGATAGTCCTAGATCTAGCAGCAACCTAGCTAAATCAAACTGTCCTTTAACCTTTAGGCCTAGCTATCTACTAGTATCTAGCATGCGTGATAGTAGATCTAAATCTATATTATTTATCCTATGTGAACTTAAAAAAAAAATTCAATTTGCTTGAGGGGGGGGGGTGGGAGGAAGAGAGAAGTGAAGACACGGACGACCTCGTGTGAACGTCTATGACGTATGCTTTAGGCCTGCTGAACTCACAGTGACCTCGCCGATCGTGGGCCGTGGTGGGATTTTCCACTCACGGGATAGTAAGCGTAAGGCAAGCAATCACGCCAGTGACGATGGTTGGAAATTTTATTTAAAAAAAAAAGAATCATAGTCTACGTCATATTTTCAATATGAAAAAAAAAATGTATGAATCCCCGGGTTCGAACTCTGAACTCCGGGTCTGTGAACTTTTGACTACAGCTGGCATACTGTTGACTCAACCACAGCGGATGTGTTTGAGAACTAAAAAGTAAGCATTTTCAATTGCAAGATGGCAAATCAAACCTGCGAGACGCGTAGTCTATTCTTTAGGGGCCACGCTCTGCGAGACGCTAGTCACTTCGTAAAAATTATTTTCAAAAGTTCTAAAATTGAGCTAGAAACATAAATTGGTAATCTATCGTTTTGGGTACGTAAAATCGCCCGCGACTAGTAATGTGAAAAACAGGTGACTCCTTAAATTTTAATAATTATTTCACATTTTGAGGAGGATTTATGTTTAGAAAAATACAAAAATGTTTCCTTGTTTCATCTATGTACCTGTTTTTAAACAATTGAATTAAAACTTTTCAGTAATAAATGAACACCAGCGATGTTTCCAACAGATGCAACCACGCTCATTTACTATAGCAGCCATCTTGTTAAAGCTTTATTTTTATAGACATATAGCGCGAGATCCAGGCGGAAGTCACTCTATTTTACAAATGGCTGCTGTTTATATAGCAAATCTTGCTTGCAGACACTGCTGTTTAAAGTTAATATCTGGCCTATATTGATATATTTAGCCATTGATTTAGGTTTATTATTCATTTATCTATATTATTTGACACAAACATATCGCAATATACTTCTATTACAGCCTTGACAATGAGGTAACGTTTTCGTACATTAATAGCCGCGGGCGATTTTACGTACCCAAAACGATAGATTACCCATAAATTATAAAATTAAGCAGGCATTCTCCTCTAGCTAGAATCTAGATCTAGATCTAGATACATCCAAGATCTATCTAAAAGCTAGATTCTAGTCATAGTGAAGTGTGTGTGTCACAGGGACAGTCTGCTAACTGGCTAACTGTAACTGAACTCTCACTCATGGCGGCAGTCATTAATTTCAGTATGCCTAGATCTCTAGATCTAGATCTAGATTAGATCTAGATCTAATAATGTTAGGCCTACTGAAAAGTATAATTTGTATGCTAGAAATCTAGAGTAAATTAGTTTTACGTTATTTCTTTCGATTATCACTGTGGATAACATAATATTAGTTAGATCATCATCACGTCTACTGCTAGTCGTCATTTTTGTGAAACTAGAAATCTAGTCTAAACCAATCAGCGTGAGCTTAGTATTTTCTACCGGGAAAGTAAAAATTAAAAATTGTTCAGGCCTTAAAATTTGCCGAGTTTATTTAAGGCTAAGATTAAAACAATTTATTCGTTTAAGTAAAATGTAAGCATTCTGTCACTTTACGATTAATGTGATAAATAATATGAAAAATGACACTTATCTGGGCGACTTAAGTCACAAGAATTTGTGCACATATTATTTTAATCCGACTATAGTCTATATCTAGTGAAAAAAAGCAACGTTTTTATAGTAAAGTATTGGATGTGGTGTCGTTTACTTTTTAACTCATTGAACTGGCAAAAAGCTTATGTTCCTTCTATATATTTTTCAAATTTTTATTTTTATATGGGGTCATCCATAAATGACGTCACACTCGTAGGGGGGAGGGGGGTCCGTAATTTTGTGACGATGTGTGATGAGGGGGAGGGGGGGGGGTCAGATGTTGCGACGTCACATTTTTGCATTATAAAAAAGCAATGTTAGAAAACGAATTTTAGACGTTATTTCGCGTTTTAGATAACTGTTTTAATAAATTGTAATAGTTTAGACAAGATTTTGGAAAAATATCGATGTTTTTAAAAAAATTCAACTGCAATTTTGAGGGGGGTTGTAGGTTGAGGTGTGACGTCATTTTAGGGGGGGGGGTCTGGCTTTTTGTGACGACGTGTGACGGAGGGGAGGGGGGGAGGTAAAAATCGTCAAAAAAGCGTGACGTCATTTATGGATGACCCCTATGGTATCACCCGGTGCGGTCCGCACCCCCACCCCCGCCTCGCCACTGCAATTTGACACTCACTGCAAACACCACTGTATTATGGTATTTTAAATAGTTTTCTTAAATTGCTTCTCCGGCGTGATTATAGGTGATATAGGTAGAAAGTTTACCGCCCCCCCCCCCCCCCACCCCCGAAAATTTCAAGTGCCCCCCCCCCCCCGGAGAAAAAAGTCTGGAAGAAACACTGCTTAACAAGTTTGTGGCTAATGACATGGCCCAGAAAAGTTATTTGCATTCCTTATCTCAATTTTACTAGGTCTAGTTGTCAACCCTTGCGATTTTAAAGATTCTAGTAGCGACCTCAACCCTTTGATGTGGTCGGTCCAATTTTGTGAAAACAGACATATGTCATCCAAGTATGCAACTGTGTCAGGATTATTAATTAGAATTTTTCTCATCCGTATGTTGAACGTAGCTGGGGCATTGATCAGGCCAAAACTCAGGAAGTTTCAATGGTATATTATTATGTTACGGGTCATTGTGAGGTCAGATTAGAATAGGTTAGAATAGTCTCGAACTTAGGGGAGAGTGCGTGTGTGAGTTGAGTTTACCCTAGTGTGTAGTTATCCCCGGTGTGTTATGTATTGTAATCCCAAGGTCGAATGGGTGTATAAAAGGGCGCGTGAACGAGTGGGGGGGGGGTCAGCGGTTAGTTGGTAGCGGTTAGGGCGAGGGCTACTCTGTTATGTAAAAAATTGAGTCCCAATAAAAGTATTAAAGTTAACCACGAATCGTTGTTGAGTTGAATCAAACCCGGACGTAACAGTATAGACCAAAAGGTGTGATGAATGCGTTACATTTCTTGGCCGACTCTTTTATTGGTATTTGCTAATATCCTCTTGATAGATCAAATTTGGAGATTTTCGCATGGGATATGCTAGCAAACAGTTCTTCCTGATTAGGCATTGGTTCAGCGTCAGTGATGGTAATTTTATTGAGATGTCTATAGTCGATGCAAAGTCTTTATAACAATTAGAGATGTTGTTAGACCAGTGGCGTAGCGAGGGGGGGGGGGCGGGGGTGCGGACCGCACCAGGTGACACCATTTAGGGGCGGGTGACACTAAGGTAAAAAAAAAAATAGCAAAATATATAGAGAATAATGATAATTCCACCTAATTAAGTGATTAATTCGAGTGTTAAAAAGCCTTTTAAGAGCAAATTTGACAATTCTCGACAAGGGTGGAGGGGGGGTGGGGTGCAAATCGAAAGTTTGAGGGGGGGGGGGGACGTTCTGACCGGGATTCAAAGGGTCGACTCGAAATATCATCCTAATGAACGATAGGGCGCATCGCTCCAGATGGGGAGTCAGGGAGAGTAAATAGCCAGCTTGATTCAACATTCAAACTGGAACAAAATATATTACATATACACGTGTTCTTTTTATATACACACCTTTTGACACCCCCACACACTCGTCACAAAATTCCGTAGCCTAAGTTATTTGTACTAGAATGGAAACAATAATAAGTACAAATATGCGAAAGAAAAAAAAAACGAACACATCAGTCAAGGGAGGGCACTACAAGATAAATCTAAATACTCCTTGTAAATTTGTAAGTGTAAGAAAGTTACATTGGAGGCCCCTAGCCTACAAGTAGTTATATTATGATTAAGGCCTAAGTTAAAGTATGCCTAATTAAAATAAATTGGCCAAGGCTTATAATTGTATTTAGATCTATATCAATGCAATTATTGTTGTAAATAATATTTAGAATCCCTAGCAGAACGAGCCCCGGGCGGGAGAGCTCGGCTCTTGGTTTTTAGAAGTCCTTCTTTGAAGTTCTTTCTTTCTGGCTTCCCAGTCCCACGGGCAAATTAAATTATTAGACGTGTTTGTCTTTTTGTTTGTTTGTTGTTGTTAAATTAAGTATTTTAATAAGTATATCTGGGGTGACAGCAACGTATCTAAAGGAGAGAACTATAAAATCAAACACCTGAGCTCTTCTGATACTACTACTACTACTAGTCTAGGGTGGACAAACTTGACAAAGCCTTGAGTTTGAGTCACAGAGGCAATGGAAGCAAATCCAGAAAGAAAATCATGATGCTGAACTACTTATTATTAATTAATAATTTATTAGTTATTAGTAATAAGTCAATAAGTTATCAGCTATTCTTACTCTGAAGTCTTAGAGTAGGCCTAAATTTAAATAGGCCACAATGACTAAATGAGACTAACTAACCCTTAGGCGAAATAATTTACAGGCCTAATGCTTAATACTAATAATAAAAATAGGCTTGATCTAGTAAATAGATAATAAATAGGTCCTAGATCTAGATTCTATATCTACTCAGTACTTATTACTGTAATTAGTAATTAGACTTAGTTACTTAATTTTGTTGGGGGATATTAAGATTAAGAAAGAAAGCGTTACACAAATTTTTTAAAAACTTTTATCCTAAGTTTTATTTACCACACACACACTTAAACAATACTGACCAACCACTTAGGCTATAAATCTATTTTATCCTCACCATACTAATGAGATCAACTCACACTGACACATCATGCTCAAAGACTAGCCTTTTTGATAAGATGTTACAAATGTCCTGTAGTGAAACTCTGAAACTAGACTTAATAGACTAAGTCTGAAAATCTAAATAAAATTAAAATACACAAAAGTGTAGAGATTAACTGAGATAACTAGTGTAATGCCCTAATAAAAATACATTACAAACATTTCATAGATCTAAACCTGCCTATCTTTATTCCTAAGTAACATGTTGCATATTCTTACGAATTATATGGGCACACATAATACATGAATAGAAAAGAGGCTAAATTAACACATTTTAAAAATCAACCACCTGACTAAAAAATTTAATTTTTCAATCTATTTAAAAATGAAAGTGTCTGTCTGTGGTTTTGTTTGTCTTTTATGCATTACTACACCTTTCATCCAATCGCCATGAAACTTAGCGAGGTTGTTAAGACCACTCCTGGAAAGATTTCTGGGATAAAAATATCAGAAAGGTATGTTTTGACACCCAAAGTTCCCAGTGGCTATCTTGGATTGTGAGCCTACACAAGGGGTCAGGGGTACTTACTTGATTCATCAGTCAAACTGCATCAGGTGCATCCGCAGGTACCCCAGTGATTGTATGAGCTGGTACTCCCTTGCCTCACCCTTAAGCGATATGACGACTACAAAGAATGCGGTGGGCTACTACAATCATTGAATAAATCAAACTGTTGCTCCTACAGTTGAGTACAGATGGACGCCCCCAGTTTCCTAAATGCTATCTGATCTGATGGAGACTGTTGATCAGGCATCCTGCGCAATTGGGCAGGGCTACTACTTGATCCAACTTTCAAACTGCAATAGGGGCAGCCTCTGGTGTCCCGGTGGTCCGAAGCATCCTGGGCCCTCCTATGAGCTTTATGGCACCTATAATCATTTCAAAGGTACACAGCACACAGTGGGCTTATACATTTGATGACTAAACCTAACCTGGGGTTATCACCCCCCCTCCCCCAATGGTGGCCAAGGAGTGTTCTACCTCACTATTGCAGAGGGTGAATAACATACACTCAATTCTTTCATACAGCATGCCCTGTGGCGTGTGGGTGGTAGAGGGGACAAAGCCAAGCCACAACAATTACAATCCAAGAAATGTAGATGACAATAACATACTTGATGAAACTAAAACAACATTTTGTCACTCGGGTAAAATAATTTCAACTTTTTTTTTTCAGTTAAAATGGCTTCTTGTCTAAGATCAAAGCATATCATTTTGTCCCAAATATTGAAGACAGTCTGTTCAAATTCTTCTTCAACGTACCATGTAGCTGCAGGAATGGTTCAGTTCAGGCCAAAGGCGATTGTACCTTGGTCAAAAAGTCCATGCACCTTGCATCAAGTGGTTTTACCATCACCAACTTCAGTGTCTTGGTGCATAGCTAGATCCTATGCTAAAAAAGGCAAAGATAAAGGTAATGCATTTTAATGTTTAAAATTGATGTCATCATTTTAAAATTATAATACATTATCATCATTCCTGTGGTCCACTTGTGAAGCACAGGGACACAACCACACCTCTCTATCGCACTCAGTTTTGGAAGATTCATCCAAGTTGGATCCAATACATTCCAGCTGCTTGTGCTTTGCTTACAACTGATCTTTTCTAAGTTTTTTTTTTTGGCCTACATGTTTTTCTCTTTCCTTGGATATTCCAATAAACTGTTTTGCCTCTTGATGATGTTTGCTGGTTTGCACAAAGTGTGTCCTATCCATCCCCATATGTGTTTTTGTATTTCTTTTTCAATAGGGTTTTGTCCTGTTTTTTCAGTGTTAAATTATGCTTTTTTGATGTTACGTTAAATATTCAATGTGTGTATATGTATGAGTACAATGCAATTCTTTATGTTTCAGGTGGTAAAGCTCATAAAAAGATGACATTAACTGATGATCAGTTAAGTGGACTTGTTGATATTGAAAAAGTGAGAGAAGAATTTACTCATGTTTTGAAGGACCTGAAAGAGAAGTTTGTCCATCAGCTGACAGTAAGAACCTCACAAGGTATTTATCAACTTAAATATATTTCATTTTATCGATATTTGAATTAAGTAACAACCAGATACAAATACACTCTTTGATATTTTATCAAACATATCTAGTTGAAATGCAAATTGTTTTAATTTTTGGAATGGCGTGCTAGTCGGAGTGGATTGGGTGAGATTTGTTGCTGCCCTATACTCCACAGGGAGTGACGAGGATTAATGAATAAATGCCTAGTCACATTCTAATGATCAGGACTTGTGATATCTCAGGGTTTGTCTAACAATTTGTTCTGGCAACCCTGCCTGTATTCTATATCTTGCAGTGACCACACTGACACAAAAATAAGTCGCACTAAGACAACACTGTAGATATTTTTGTCTGCTCTTATTTTATTCTAATATATGACCACTTATTCTTTTAATTGTTTTTACAGGGGTGTTTGATAACCTTATTGTGAAGACAGCTGAGGGTAATTTCCCGCTAATTCAGCTTGGTCAAGTTATTGTGAAAAACCCGCAGCTAATAGCCATTGATTTATCATCAAGTCCTCAAGTAAAATGTTTTTTTTTTGTTTAAACACTGACGATATTTTTTATTGTTTTTAGCAATACAGTGTATTATTACAATAGGTAGATATAATCTAATTACTGAAGTAAATGTTAATCCTTAAGTAGCCTTATCTCTTTAATTGTATTTATCTTAAATTACAGTAATGGTTAAATTAACAAACACAGCTTTATAAACTTCTCTTAATTTAAAAAATTAATGTTTACAGTACATTACAAATGTCAAAGAAACCCTGTTGAGTTCAGGTCTCAATGTTAATCCTCAACAAGATGGGACAAGCCTGTTCATAGCAGTGCCAAAGTAAGTACATCAGGTTTTGTTCATGTGGAAATATTTGAACAAAATGCTAAGAATATATCGGTTGTGACTTAATGCAAGTAAATTGTTGCTTGTGCCTTATCCTTATTTTATGTATCAAGTTTGGAAATTTATTGTAAACTGTAGCGTATAGCAGAACAGTTTTCTTAATGAGCTGTCTTACTAGGAAAGGTGACAACAGAGACATGGAAAAAAGACTCTGTATCTTTGCCCTTAAGAGAGAAGTACTTAAGTCACAATTTTGTGAAAATCTAACCAAATAATGGTTATCACTCTCCCTATTTTTACTAATCTAATGTACAAATATTAATGTTCAGGTTTTCAATTAAATCCTCTTTAGAGAAACTTGATAAAATAAAGACGTAATGTTATACCCAACTTAAATTAGTGAACTCTTTCAGCTCAATATGTTTATTTTGTGACTTAAGTACTTTTGGCATTAAGGTCTTCAGCTGTTGCTTGATTAGGAAGAAATACACCTAAACCACATCTCAACAAATGGGTGTAGAGTTAAATGTCTATAGAAGTAATAGTGAAGTTAATAATCTGGACCTGGCAGCAATAGAGCAGATAAAGTAGAGTTCACCTGTTTCTGTTACCTCAACTTATGAAAGAATAGTATGGTTAAGATCTATACAACTCTCATTATTTGTAAAAGACAAGCATTGCAAATCAGTGGGTTAAAAGGAAATTTATAACATCCTTTCCCTCAGTATCAGACCTCAAGGGAGTGGCATCTCTGTTATCCTTCCCCTCAACCTACACTTTGGCCAAATAATGAATAACTTATCTAGAAAAGTTTGATTTTAAAAAAGTAAAGTTCCCTTTCAAACATGACGGTCTACGTGGCAAGTGAAGTAGAGTTTATTTGTTTCTGTGACCTCAGAATAGGAAGGGATTGTGTAGTCAGCACTATGCCAAGTCGCCTTTACATACCCTAACATGTGTTAGGTACCCATCAGAGCTGGGTGGACTCAGGGATGGTCTACTGATTTGGATCCGAATTCAAACTCAAGACATGGGTTATCAGTCCAGCTCTCTATCGCTATGCCACTCCGTCCCATATAGTTTGAATAATGAAAGTAAAATACATTATTTAGAGAAGTTTCAGATGAAACTTTATTCAAGAGGTGTGCGAAAGTATTTAATATAATTTCCATTTCTTCAACATAGTATCTGCTAGTATAGGTTGAATAAAGAAAGAAAAATTCAGTAGTTTGAGGTGTATCAGATTAAACCTTAATTAAGAGAAATGAAAAAGTAGTTAGTATGTTTTCCTTATCACCAACATGGTGTCCACCTAAAATGAAGGTTTGTTGATTGCACAGAGTCACGCGAGAACACAGGGAGACCCTGGCAAAAAATGCCAAACAGCTGAGTGAGAAGTCAAAGAAACATCTGCGGGATGTCTACTCAAAGTATTCAAAGAAAATTAAAACATCCCAGACGGGACACTCTGCAGATGATCTCCTGGCAGCAGAGGAAATGGTCAGTGGTGTTTGTGTGTGTATGTGGGGGATCAATTGTGGGTTTTTGGGGGCTAACTGTACAGGGTTCGTACGCAGTCTGGAAAGTCTGGAAAAAGTCTTGAATTTAGAAAAGTGAATTTAAGACTTAAAAAAGTCTGGAAAATCGCTAGTTTTTGGGCAGGATTTTTTAAAAGTCTGGAAAAAGTCTGGAATCTAGTTTTAGAAACAAAACTTAGTCCATTTTTTCCAACTTAAAAAAAAATGTTTTTTTTTAAGTGAATTTACTCCAATTTTTTTCCCCGCGCTATCGCGCGGGTTTACACTGTGCTGTGACGTTTTTCCGCTGGTTTGCAGAAAAAAGACGGATGCTCAGTTACTACGTCATTGGGAGAAGAGGGGAAGGGAGGGAAGAGATATTTTGTGGCACGACTGACCGTGTGAATGTGTTACAAGTACTTACAATTGTCATTTAATGAAAGAATGATCGCCGTCATGATTGTTAGGCTCTCGATTTTACCCGCTATTTTTTCATCGTTAACAAAAGTTATGGGGGAGATGTGTGAGTGGTAGTTTAGATATAATGTATCAGTCTGTAAGGCGTCATCCGTTTATGACTTACAACAATTTTTCCGATTTTAGACCCACCCCCTTTCCCCTTTCCCCCCTCCTCCCCCCCCCCCCCCCCCCCCCCCCCGCCCTCTGTCCACACGCGTTCACTTACTTTGGATTAATATTAACATTTATAAGATTAATAAGTTGCAAGGCCAACTTGGGTTCATACCTGTATTTCTGTTTGCTTCAGCTTAACAAAGAGGTACTATTTTTATTTAGGAGTCGTCCATAAATGACGTCACACTCCGGAAAGTCGGGAGGAGGGTTTTATAAAGTGTGACGACACGTTCTTGCAATAATGTTGGGGCAGATATAAATACCGTGTTTTATTTACACGCTGCGATGGTTTTTAAAACACCAGCACAGTCGTCTTAATTTTACTTTCTACTCGCAAGATACACGTTTTATGTTTGTTTTAGAATGTAATCACAAAATCTTCCGACCCCTCCCCCCCCCCCCTCCATGTGTACGTCATAAATGGATGACCCCTTTAATTTTAATTCACCTTCCATTAAACTATTTTTGATATCTTTGCAAATGCTGACGATTAAAGTTAGACTACCCCGCCCCTCCTTCAACATCGGTCACTTGTGTGAACTCACTGTGACCCCAAGTTGGTAGTTGGTACTGCTTGGTAAGTAGGGTGGGGGAGGGGGTATAAGTCACAGCACAGTTCATGTTATACTGAAGTCTAGACCACTATGACCTCACAGTGACCGCTTCACCATGTCTGTGGGGGGGGGGGAGGATACCGGCAATTTTTTTTATTGTAGACCCGTTTCTCAGCTATTACTATAAGCACAAACAGTGAATGATGTGCGTGTTTTTTTTTTTTTTTTTGCTCCACATTTTTTTTTTACAAGTAGCCTATAGGCTACTTAACAAGAGCAGACCTAAATTAATACATTACATTATTATTCTTTAAAGTAATTAACTCTCACTATTATGCAATACCATTTTAATGATAGTTTAATTGAAAACATAAGCAATTAGATCAGGAACAGATTACATAAGTCTAATGTTGGAAACAAAATAGCTGCATCATTTTAATCAATTTTTTAATTGTTAAAATTTTAGGTAGGGTGGAGTAGGCAAACTTAGAAAAGTGATTTTCTGTCAATTCGGCTAGAGAAAGTTCACTATGAATATAGCTCAATTGCCTAAAATAAATGTCAATTTAGTATAAGTAATTATAATGACAGTACAAATAGTGCATCATTTAAAAAAATTATTCGCTAACACATTATTTGTCTAAAGTCTGGAATTTTTCCAAAAAAGTCTGGAAAATGTCTGGAAAAAGTCTGGAATTTCATTTTCAAAAAGCAGTACGAACCCTGCTGTAAATAAGGTTGTTTTAGGGCAAGTTGTAATTAAGGGCTAATTTGGGGCTCTGATAGGCAAGCTGTAATTAAGGGCATTTTTTGAGCAAACTTTTATCAAGGCATTTTTGTGGAAGTGTGTTGGCATATTTAGGCCAAGCTGTAAATATTAAGGGCATTTTTATGGCAAGACGTAGTTTAGGGAGTGAGGTGGATTTAGATTTGATGAGTGTGTACCTAAGTTAAATTTGTGCTTCTATATTGCTGACAGGGTAACTGAGCAGTGGTTCTTAACCTTTTTGAAGATACTGAACCCCACCAGTTTCATATGTACATTCACCGTACCCTTCTTAATAGTTCTTCTATCGTCCGCACTGACAAAATCCGATCGCGAATCATGTGTGTCTTGACCTCCACTGAACCCCCTTAGTTCTAACTCACCAAACCATTGGGGTTCTATTGAACCCGGGTTAAGCACTATTGTAATAGAGTATAATCAATTTTCTTGTCGTGTAAGGCTAAAGTTGTGGTTAGTTTTTGTGTTACAAACCAAAAATACTGCCAGTGTTGGAGTGTAAGTGTTGATGGTCATTTATTTTTAAATTTCAGATAAAAGATTTAATGCACGAGGTACAAACACAAATAGAAGAAATGACAACTTCAAAGCAAGAAGAACTTATGGGAGGGAGATAACTCATGCCAAAAAAAATTGTACATACATCCAATTATTATGGAATTTAGTTTAGAATAGCTTAATTGATTTAATTATCTCACTGTGGTCAATCTTATTATTCAATGCTAATGAGATTTGAACCATAGAAATTGTTAACCAGATTTAATTGACTGTAATTTCAACTTTGAAATTGTTAAACATTCACTTAATTGTTTAATTCTGTTATTGTATAAACTCTTCCTTCCTTAATAAACACAATACTCTCACAGAATATCATAAAGTTTTATTTCATTTCTGGGTATAATTTTTAAAAAAGGTACAAGAAATGTTAGGTAGATAAACCAACTGCCACCTGATAGGTGTTAGCTGTAGGTTAAGATAAAAAAACAGTATGACTTATGTTAAACAGAAAATATATTACTGTTGCTATAGAATCAAGCATTAATGAACAAGTATTTCAAGTTTCTATTTCGCGATTTAATAAATATTCAATAAAACAAGTACAGCAAAAACACTCCAATGTTGTAAATGTTAAAAAAAGTTAGTTCACAAAATATCAGTTTGTATATGTAGGTCTAGCATAGGACATTTTAGAAGGATATAGTTAGCGTGAAAGAGTATTTTCACAGTATTGCAATAAAAATCTCGTACTTGTAGACACAACTGTTTATCAATATTGCTGTGTTACAAGAAAGACTTTGGGTACGAGCAGTTGCAAAGGCCAAGTGTGATACAGACACTGTAACATGTTTCAATTAGGGAGTTCAAATACTCATTTCTTTCAGATTTCCACGGTTTAGATTTTAAGTCACTAAATGGCACAAATATTTTCTTCTTCTTCTTAATCCAGTTTGTTCCCAAGACACATTGGGCAGATGGAGTAGAGTTCATCTGATTCACTGACCTCGGTATATGAAGGGATAGTGTGGTCAGCACTATGGCCAGCCGTCTTTGTTTCCCTAAAAGTTAGGTACCCATCAGAGCTGGGTGGACTCAAATATAAACAACAGATTAATGGCAAACCAACGCTTATTTATACCCAACTTCTATACTTTCATAAAAGTTTCATCCTTTACAGTTTAAATAAAATATGCTTGTAGACTGATATGTACTGCTTTAGGCAATTAAATCAGTCAGTTTTTTATATAAGAAAATTTTGTACTATTTCTGTACTAGGGAAGTAGGTAATTCTGATTTCGGCACTTTCTTAAACTCAATTGAACTTTATGGATGATCCACTTGATCATCCGTTAAATATGCTCAACTATTTTGGTCTAAATAAAATTGCACTTTGAACCTATGATAACATTTTGAAAGAATATAACCTTACTTTAAATAAGAGTTAAGTGAATCTGATATAAGGTTCTAAAATAAAAGGTTTGGCTATAAACTGTTAAGTTCCAATCACCAGGAAAGAACTGGCAGTTAAAATACTGGTATGTAACATTTGAAAAAGGTTCCACCCTTTTTTTTAGGTAGATGAATAAGGACAAGAAATCTAATACTTGTTAAAATTTACATTGAGAAAACAATATTCACAAACTCTTTAAGTAAACAAATTAACACACCATTTTAGTATAGCCTAGGCATAATTTTCATGGAAAAAGTTAGATATACATTTTTTAAACAATTGTCATGAGCCTTTTGCAAAGAGTAAGGTTGCATCAAAGAAAACCGCACAATTTTAACAAACAATGAAAACAACAGGCCAGATTGGAGTTCAAAAGAACAGCTGCAAAAATAAAACAGTAAAAAATTTCATGAAAGCGAGGTAAAGGAGCGACAACCTTAGAAAAATCTAATTAATTTAAAAAATCTGTTTAAGAAAATGTTTCACATAAGCTTAGTTCCAAAGATAAATATTTTGGAATGTTTTTTTTTAAGTAGGTTTGATTATACCAACATTTTTATTTGAGACTTTTAAATAGCTTTTCCACAAACAAAACAAACAACCAAATATTATGTAACCGGGGTAAATTGTTTTATAAATATAAGATGTATGAGCAAATATTTTTTCAAAGTTTTTAAGTGTAGGAAAAACAAAATGCAACTGATAATCAATTAAAAAGTATGGAAATTTAACATGTCTGGTTCTAAATGCTATTTTAAGAAGTGTAAATCTATTCCTTAAAATTTCTTAGTTCACATTCTTTTGCTGGTTCTTTAAAATTCCTAAAAAAAAAAGCATTTTAAGCAAATTACAGCTACATCTTGCATTTTAAGTAAATAAATGCACCACTTTTCATAATAATAATTAATCACAAAGACATGAAAAACAGTTTTCAGTTTAACTTAATCAAACCATTTTATGTAAAACAACTGAATTGTTTCTAATATATACAGTGGATGCTGAAAATATTTTTCTGGACTATAACCTTTAGTAATACAATGAATACAGAATTGTGATTTCTACTATTTAAGAACTTAAGTAACAATTCACTACCTATGTCTTACATTGATTAACATTGTTTAATGATTAGCTACATCACAACTATGTTTATAATTAATTTATAAATTAACATTTCACTTTAAACTTATGAAAATAATTTTAAAATCTTAAAAAAGAAAAAGTAAGCTTAAGAAGGGACTGCTACCTAAAGAGATTGGAAAACCGGGACAAATTATCAAAATGTATAGGAATTAATATTAAATTAACATTAACAATTGTAAAAAAAATATCAACAAACTTAGATCATTAATAGGTAAACATTTAAAACAAAAAACTTCACAAATAAATCTTTAAAAAACAAGTTTTTAAATTATTGACAATTTTAAAAAATATTTAAATCTGGACATTAATTGTATATTTTTAAGAGACAAGAAAATTTGATTAGGTTTAAAAACTTTTTTAACAATAGAAAATGTATTTCCATTTTGATCAGGGAAAAAATGTTTATAATCAGATGAACATTTTCTAGAACAATCACGGAGGCTTGACTGGAATTGACACAAGATGACTTACAATAACCAATTGAATATTATAACCAATAAGGCAGATATTTTCTACCAGGTTAATCAATGAATAATTGCATTTTTAAAGGCTTTTTTTTTTTCATTCTTGCAGATGCATTATGAACATTAGTTTCTAAAAATAAAAAATTAGTTCAACTAAATTTACAGTGAAAATGAAATAATAAATAAATAAATTTTAGATTCTCAAGCAAAATAAACTTATAGTGTCTTAGTAAAAAGACTAAATTATTTACAGAAAAGTTGATAATGACAAATTCTACTCTCAGTGTATTGACTGTAAGAACATTGTCAATACATTTCACATGAATGCACTTGTGGTAGATGAACTAATGCAACAAAACATCACACCAAGACATTTAACTTCTTGAACTTTGGGGATTTACTGAAAAAAAAAAACAACATGCGAATAAAAAAAACAGATCAGAATATCTAGAAAGCAATATTGAAATGGATTTTTCACACATAATTGGAACCATTTTTTTCATTTCCTTTTCTTCAAAGGTAAACATTTTTAAAAATATTTTTAGCATTTGATGTCATACAGTTTATTGAAACTTTATAAATCAACCAAGATTCTAAACAATCAATAATTATAAAAGTGTTATGAACTCCCATTTTTTCCTTCAGTGCCATGCAGACACCTCTATAAACCCAGATTCTAACAAATAAATTCTAAAACTGTTACGAACTTACATTTTTCCTCCAGCACCAAGCTTCTATAAACCCAGATTCTAAACAATCAATTCTAAAAATGTAATGAACTTACATTTTTCCTTCAGTCCCATGCCGAAGCCTTTATAAACCACGACTCCAAGAACAATGACAACAAACCGAACAAGCAGAGCAACAATACCACAGGCTATAGTGGCGGCAGCCAACCCAGACCAAGTACTTATGTAGCCAGACACCTGTTAGTGAAACAGAAAATGGAATCAAGTTCTCTTCAGCCATACTTGCTTAAATTAATAGCATTGATGTATTTTTTTTAAAGTTTAAAATAAATAAAGCGGCAGTGATCTCCCCTAAACTTTCTCAAATATTCTTATATAACACTAGGGGGATGGTAACCCTGGATATAGACATGATTTTTAATCAATTTTTAATTACTTTAACTTTTAAAAATAGAATAGAGTCTCATAGAAAAAGAATTGCGCAACAAGTGAACAGCAAACAATTTGCGTATAACAGTGCATTATACTAGTACCTTATGAATTGAGAAATCGGAAATTGCCTAAAGTACTACTTCCTGTCAATGGAAATGACTCAAAATTTGAAAGAAGACAGAGAGTTAGATCTTTTACTTATATGTGAAATTTCGTCTATCTAGCTGAAACAGTACTCAAGTTAAAGGTTTTTGAAAAACCAAAAGTAGAATAAGTTCCACTTCTGGTTACCAGAAATTGCTGAAAAGTTGATTCAGAACTAAAAATTTGTTATAAATACTTATGTATGAAATTCTATCAACCTAGCTGTAACGGTACTCAAGTTATCGTGTTCACAGACATACACACACAGACATACGGATAAAACTTGCAAGACTACGTTTTTCTGACTCAGTTACGCATTAAACGTAGACATTTTCTATTTCGATTTTTTGAACGATTACAAATCTTCTTCTATACTTTGTATACAAGAAAGAAAAAAGGAAACAACAATTAAATAACTGTTACATTAAAGCAAAGCCCAAATGAGCATTTATTCAACAAACAATGGATTTTATAGTTAAAATTACTCATTACTTACATCATACATTTTGTAGCAAATGTAAGCAATTTCAGCTGGACTGAATAGAAAAAAGATTATCGACACAGCTTTAGATTCCTTCGGCATCTGCAAGAGAAAAATGAATTCAATGAATGCATTCTAAAAAACAAAATATTATATAAAATACTTATGCCGTTTTATAGATTCCTACATCTTTACTTACAGAGAAAAATCCCACTATGAACCAAACTAGTGTGAAGACTCCTCCCACTGACAAGATGACAATGTCTTGTACGGCAATGTCATTGGGGGTCTTGAGAATCAAAATAACCATACTGCCCTGCAAGGGAAAGATGGTTTGAAAATCTGGCAAATTAAAAAAAAATAACAGAAAATCTGGCAAATAATTTATTCAACTTATTCAACAAACCATTCTAAATAGTACTCAAGCAAAATATGAATTTTAAAAAAACTGTACAACTGCCATCTAACACAATATTACAAAATGATAAATTATTCCTCTCCGTCTTTTTGTGCAAAATAGTTTATGCACAATCTCTTACTACTTTTACATTAAATTGCTTAGTGTTACTCTCCATCACTATATTTTGACTATATATAAATAACCCAAACCCATAGCATACACATTTTGATGAGCCATTTGAGAATTTGAATACTTTCCAATAACGTATCAATAAAAAAAAACCATAAAAAATTATTTGACTGAAACATGAGATCAAGCAAGTATTTGTAATTTCAAAACTTACACTAGGCTAAAGAAGGAAAAAAATCAACATAACAAAATTATTTAAAACACAGCACAATGTCGTGAATATAAAACAAAAATAGCTAAACACAATGGTACTTACTCCTAACTGGAGATCAAATTTTAAGAAATCCTGAAAAGCCAAGAGATTCCTGTACAACTTCTGAAGAGTTTCACTCGCACCAACCGTTCGGAAAATCAGTTGCTTGGAAACATGATAATGCCAAGCAATGTATAAACCCAAAACTACCAGAAATGGACAGAACACACATGCTATTATGAGTCGGATCTGAAAAATAAAAAAATAAATATGTAATACATGTTAATAAATAGGTACATTTAAAATATGAGATAGTTGTTCTAATTGAATAAAAGATAACCCTTTGCAGATTTAATATTTAAAAGTTACAACTGTCATAACAAAGAAAAAACCAATTATCGAAACGGCATTTTGCTTACCAATTTGATATCATTATGATAACCAGCCAGGTAGTTTGCGATGAGATAAACCATGATAATTACTGTAGCAATTGTCAGAATGACAAGCTCTGATGGGCGTTCTCTCAAAACACCTTCGATGACAAACCAAATACAAAACACTGGAAAAGAATCAACGTAAAGTTCAATTAAGGATTGCTTTTACTTAGAATTACACATTAAAATTAAAACTGTTATTTCTAAAGCCAAATAGCAATGTTTTAACTAGGGTAAAGCAAACATACTTTAGTTAAATAATTCAGTAATGTTAAATTCTAAAATAGATATTGCATTTGTTCATAATAGACTAAAAATAGGTTGTAGTGTAAATAAATTGTCAAAGTTAGAATAGTAAAATAAATATTCTAAGTCAAAATAATTATTTTAAGTTGCAATATTACACAAAGTTTAATTTTAAATTTTAAGATTTACAAAATTACTTAGTGTAAAGGGTGTACACCTCAATTATTAAAATTGAAGCCTATATTTACTTCCATCTTAAGTTACACATTCACTGAAAGTCAGAATCTCCCCCCACACCCCAATATATCTCAAACCTGCCTTGCACATTCTTCTTAAATTAATAATAAATCCAATCAGATTTAGCAGGATTCATAATATTTTTTTAGAATTACACAATACAAACTACATTAAATCCCCCCCCCCCCCCAAGCAACAATTTCTCATAAAAGTCAGAGTTGTCCTTCCCTCAAAGTGTTGAATTTATTTTACAGACAACCCCTAACAAGTATATATTAATTCAAATATTTTTTACCTGCATTTAACAGAAGAACTAAACCAAAGGTAAAATCTGTGTTGTTTGAAGACTCTTCATTTGAAGTGTTTGTTGTGCTGTTTCTGTGTGAGTGAGTGTTGTCCCAAATGGTCACTAGTCTATAAACAGTGAAACCTGCAGCCCCTAGGATGGATAGAACCATCAATCCAATATAAAATCTCTCCTTCCATGACACATCACTCCATGGTCGAGCCTGTTTTGAAATTATATAATTAAGAAGTTAATAAACAGAATAGCAATAATATAAAATTATTAAAAACAATATATTTTTGGAAATAAAAAAATTTACTAAAGGCTAAATTTGTTCACTAGGTCGAACGTTTGATATCAGAACTGCCCAGTTATGTATGCATGGGGTATTGAATAGTTTTCCCAATACCTATTTTTAAAATGCGGATCTACGGAATTAAAAAATACTTGGAATGCGTGGCATTCCGCATAGTAGTCACTTCATTTACTATATAGCTACTAGTACTACAGACAGTTAAATACTAGACACTAGTACTAGAAGTCTGTCTAGATTCTAATATAAGTAGTCTACTACATAACTACATACTTCTTTGGTTTAGTAATTAGCATATATTACAGTAGTTACAGTACAATGTATATTGTGTAAGACTCAAGTTCAGTCTCATGACATAATCTCATAAGGTCAGTAGGTCTAGAATCTATCATGTGAAGAATGTATGTAATGTAAACTATTGTCAACTCCATTTATGGCCATTGAACTGTATTGTCGCTTGACCTACTTTTTTTACCGTAGTCATGGTAATGATAGCTGCTGAAAACTACGATACAGTGATTCCTTTTTTTTAACAATGTTTCATGGTCATTTCAGAAATATATACTTAAAATCATTATTTTTGTGTATTATTCAACGATATCGGTCTAGTTTTAACAATGGACGATTGGTGTTTGATGCAAACTTGCCATTTGTACATTTTTTTGATCTAATCGCTGAGAATATTGAGCAAAACGTTAATTGCTTTATATAATATTGTTCCAAACATACTGAAAATATATTCTAAACTATAGAAAATTATAACTTGCTTTCTACTAAACTAATGTCAATAATGTTTTAAGAATCATGCAGGGTAAAAATGAAACCTATAAAAATATAACTTGATCGAGACAACAGCTAACTAAGCCCACCCATTTTGCCCGCTGTGTATTTGAATGGGGAGAAATCTAGCAGACAACACATTTCTGCTGAACGCTAGTGAACGGTCAATCGCGTCACAACAACCTTAAGAAACTAACACACCCGATCACTGACTGATCATAGCCATTTAAAAACAAATGCGTTTTTTTCACAAATCATTTTCTAGGCTACCGATTAATTTGATAAATAAAATTGGTATCAAATTTGAAATTAAAGGTAAATTTACTAAACTAAATAGGCTAAATGTAGTTTTTAATTGATACTATTAATTACTAACTACTATTCTAGTATTCTAGTAGACTAGTAGTAGTAGTGTGATGTGACTGTGAATGTTGTGAGTTGTGACTGTGAGTAATCCACTTTTTTGGCCGCCACCTGTTGCCTACCTTTCCAACCATCGTATCTTGAAGCTGTGCAGTCGTAGGTATTCCCAAATCAGCAAAGCTTAAAGGGGGATTTGCTCTGCCCTCCGTTTCAACACTTTCATCCATTTTGTAGCTCTCTTTGTTATCAACAAGATTTTCTTCTGTTGGATCTTTAATACTTCCGTATGTAGCCAACAGATCCATAACAAAAATAGGAGGTAACTCGCGTGTCAATAAGGGGGCGGCGCCCTCAAAATCCTTGTTTTTAATGTTATTAGACCATGTCATTTTATTCATTCGAAATTTTCAATAGCACCGTTATTTATAATTTAGTTGACGTTTCAAATATTGCTCATTTACATTAATAAATTGTGAATATGTAAATATGCTCGCGCTTACTTAAAAATAATAGGGATACAAAAAAGTAATTGCTTCAGTTGTATATAGGACATAAGCCTATGTATGCTATAAGTTATAAACTTAAAGAAACATTAATGGTTAATGATTTTATTTTACAACTTATCTGAAAAAAAAACGTGTAGACCTCCAATAATTTTTTTGCTACGTTTATGTGAATTTAAATTACTGTTCTGATTAATGACGAAGAAATTCATAAAGATCTTTTTAAAAATTCATGGATAATTGTTGCGCAAGTGACAAGTTGCCATTGGTTTTAATCGCTCGGGCTACTTCTAGGCAGCCTTATCTTATCACGACACACCGTGCAGTGCAAGACTTTTACTTGTGTAGTGCTCTAGTTTTTTTTTTTTAGCATGACCTGTGTTCGTTTAATGTTCCAATTTGTATGACGTGTATTTGTGTTGTGTTCCACTTTATTGGTCAGTGTTCCACTTTATTGGTCAGCTCACCACGAACGTGGCGTTTGGCCGAATGGACTTGAAAGCTAAAACAGCAATCGGTGTTACTTTCAGACATTTTTTCTCCTGGGGGTGGGGGGGGGGGGGGGTGGGGGGAAAGAGCACTTGAAATGTTTCTTTTCTTATTTATGTTTTTACATTTTTTTAAAACAGTGCCCCCCCCCTCCCCGAAATTTTAGTCCCCCTCCCCCGACAATTACAAGTGCCGCCCCCCCCCCCCCCGAGAAAAAAAAGTCTGGAAGAAACACAGTAGCGTAGCGAGGGGGGGCGGGGGGAGACATATGTCCCCGGGCGCCGACCTTAGGGGGCGCCAAAATGGGTTGGAAAAATAAATTGAAAGGTTGAGGGGGGTGCAAATTGAAAGTTTGAGGGGGGGGGGGGGTGCAAATCAAAATCTCGAGGGGGGGTGCAAATCGAAATCTCGAGGGGGGGGGTGCAAATCGAAATCTCGAGGGGGGGGGGGTGCAAAATCGAAAAGTTTGTCCCCGGACGCCGGGAAGGGTCGCTACGCCTCTGAAGAAACACTGGTTCAGGCTACATCAAACCACACGTATTTTATAAAAGCTAATGGATTAAGTTAGATCAGAGATACTTTCTTCATGGCAATGGATATTTTCAGCTAACCTGAAAGTCTTGAGTTTGAATCCGTGTTGAAGTCAGGAGATGTCTCCTCAAATCAGGAGTCCACCCAGCTCTAATGGGTACCTAACTCGTGTTAGGAAAAGTATAGGCGATTACACGATTCCTTCATATGCCGAGGTGGCAGAAACAGGTGAACTCTACTTCACTTGCCCTATGGACCGTCAGGTTCGAAATGGGAACTTTACTTCTCAATCCACCGTGGAAAAAAAAATACAATGGAGTCTGCAGTGTTCATCTGACCAGAGCTTGCCAGGGTGGTAGGGAATACTTTTTTGTCAACATTTTAAGAACCAAGAGGAATTATCCATGATTTTTATTTAAAAAATTATAATAGTTATAGATTTAAAAAAAACATGTTTTAATGTTAGTTGCTTGTTTTGAGTATTATGGACTTGTTTGTTTAGGTGTCTTTATAAAATGAGTAACATATGGCAAAGATTTAGGCACGTTTGTTGAAGACCAGTACCATTTGAATAAGTAATAAGAAGCACACCAAACAAATGATACAAAAAGTTCCAGCACAGAAAGGGATGAGCATTTGATGGCTTGTTTTCTAAGCTGTCCAGCTGGTCTATTGTTGAGGACACCGAACGATCTACAACTTGTGAGCTTAGTTCAACTTGACGACAACTTTTGCGGTGTGACTTTGTTCAGCCTAATCTATAATTCAGCTATACATTATACTATATTCGAGATTGTTTTTACCAGTGTTTCTTTCAGCCTTTTTTTCAGGGGGGAGGGGGAATTCGAAACTTTCCGGGGAGTGGGGGTGGACTAAATTTTCAGGGGGCTGGGGTGGGTGGACAGTGGTAAAAGTACATATTTTCTCTACAAATTCTGTTTCGTTCGGGGGGGGGGGGGGGAGGGCGGTAGACGAAAAAACGGACCCAGCTAATTTTGCACCTGTTACAAACAACCCTCTAAGTGTATCTTCTTACATATGGGAGGCACACGTTGATAATGTACCCCGGGCGCTACGCCACCGGTCCTTGGTGAAGACTTGTACCTTTTAAAAGTTTTTTTCGATTAGTTATGTCTTGATTATTTTGACGGACTTTTTAAAATAGCATTGAGAATTTTTTTTTCAATTTCGCAATTTTATATTAGTCCTGGGTTGATTATTTTGTTGGATTTAAAAAAAAATAACAGTGTCATTTAGAAAGATATTTTCGCAAATAATGAAGAACGGAGCTCCATACATTACATTGTAGATTTTGTATTTTCAATCGAAATCTCAAAACTTACAATACCTTCATTCAATCTAAGTCTTTCTAAAGATAACTATGTTTAGACATATACCTTTTATATTTCATTAGTTTGCTTTAGTCTTGCATTTTAAAAAACAATATTTTCGCTTGATAAGTTAAATGTAATAAATTGAAGTGGTTTTATTCAAGAAACTTAAAGTGGACATATCACTTTATGGGATCCCATAGCAAGTTATGTGTTGTTTGGCTTTGGTTTTGTACTGCTTGATTTCCGTGTACATCGAAAGATCCGCAGAAACGTCTCTCTGAATTTAGTGCTCATACTTAAGTAGACGCAAATGTTGACTGAGGAGTTCAATGCTTCCAGAAAAAACAATGTCGCGAACGCCATTTCAAAGGAACTGGAGTTGTTCCCGTCTAGTCTAAGACCAGAGTCAATCATCATCCATATGAACACGACAGTTCCAGGTAAATAACAAAAGATGAAAATAGTTGAAATAAACACGATCATTTTCATCACTTTTGTGTCCCTTGCTACCAAGTCGTTGGCTTTTAAGTTAGCAGAAGTACGCAGCCGCCATTTTGAAACTCGTTTTAGCTCTGTTACTAAAATAGCGGTTCCGGTGAGAATTAAAATGAAAGCGGTTAAAGGCAGGATATTGTTTATGTGAAACGAGACAGTCTCTATGTTGTTTCTGTCTTGAATGAAAGTAATACCCAGCAGAGTTATGTTCCTTGCGGGATTGAAGTTTTCTGAAAAGCGCGCCGTGTAGTAGATAGGCGCCACACTGCCCAGCATGACGAGATATACGAGTAGGATGTAGACTTGCGTTCGTTTGGGGGTGAATATGTCTTTAACCTTCATCGGCGCGGCGATACAGACGCATCTCTCAATGGTGATGTAGACGGTGATCCAGGTGGTGGTTCTGGTGAAGAAGACGTGCGGCCAGCCTCCGGTTAGGTAAGCGACGTCTAGCGGCAGAAAGGGAAGCTGCATGGATAGGAACGAAGGCGCGTAGCACGTGTTCAGCCACAGTAAAGTGAGCAGGGAAAACAAGTCTGAGACGGCGAGCCCCAGGAGGGAGATGTTCACGGTGTCACGGAGCCCCTGTGTCACGAACGTGACAATGCTGAGGAGGTTGGTGATCACGCCCAGTACGCACACCACCTGGGTCAGCACGACCCGGACTATAAATAGAAAGGTCTTCACGTACACGTGAGTCGGTAGGATGATGGTTTGGTTGTAGATCTTCACGGTTGTTGTTGTGTGGTTCAGGTTCCATTCCAGGCTCATCGCGTTGACCTGATATTCAGTTCCGGGACTCGCCATCATTCGCTGAAATCTATATCTGAACTTGTACAATACAGTAATCTCACTTCTAATAATATTTGCTTTGGTCTCCACCATTTAAAACATTATTTTTACGTGTATTAACCACTTCCCTAAAAGTTACATGGACATACTGTTATAACTAATTTATGAGGAAATGTTGCAATTGATTACTCATTTCTAATTATCGTAAAAAATATTACTTTCTTTAAAAATTAACCCAAAAAAACCCATTTTCTAACTCAATCATTGCGATTAACATAAAAAGTTGCAGTGTAAAATAGAAATGTTATTAGTTGTTACAACTGAAGAATTTCAGATATCTTGCTTGCCTAATTAACCTCGGGGGAAAATCTAGTAGAGATCATCTTTTAAAAATTAGCTGCTGTAGAGTGCTTTTTCTTGATAGAAATAAAACATTTTTTTTATAGACTAAAGGCTATCACACATCATTGTATTGCGCTTTCCTTGTTTTATTTAGTAACAGAAAGAAACTGGACTGTCAGGAAACTTTGTTTTGCTTAAGTTTCTTAACTAAAAACTTTAAAAAATCATACTAGAATTTATACATTCTGTTCGACAACTTGACTAATTATGTGTCTAGCATAAAGAATATTTATACTACTTCCAAAGAGTCATATAAATTATGTTTCTTTGATTGCTTTATATACATTTTTTGTTTCAGTCATAGACTGATATTTGTTCGATTTCTGCCATATGATGTTATTTTGCTTTATAACTAAGGGTTACCGTTTCTTCCCTAAAACACGATGGTTTTATTATTTTAAATAGTTAGCGTTCCAGAACTTATATATTATTAAATTATACACAACATAGCATACATTGAAGTAAACTGATTCACGTCAACATTAATTAGAATAATAACTAACGGCTAACTACGAAGCTACTAATGACAGTCTCTTGTTAACTTAATTATGATGTTATTTATAACGATGTTAAATGATGTAGTGTTAACTTAATTATGACGTTATTTATAATGATGTTACCTACACGAAAATGACTTGTATTAACTGTGTAGGTTCTTGAAAATTTGTAATTTGAAAATATCGACTTAATGACATACGTTTTAAACTATTAAACTAGGCCTAAACCATGTTGTTGAAATCAATCGGGTTAATTTTTAAATGAAGGTAGGTTATTGTCCTTCTAAAAAAAAGCCTCGCATATACAATTTAAAACTTAATTAGTTTCTCAAACATTGGAGACGTTCTTAAAGAATACTGCAATTATTTTGAATTATGCGGTTTTAAATTGTGGTTTGAGCTTGAATGCGTGGACGGAATTTAAAATGTTTTAGTAGTTTTGTTACAATTTATTATTCACGTGATACCTATCAGCTGTGGTAAAGATCGACGTATACCATAAGAATTTGTAATAATGTATAGCAAAACAAAAATATTCCGCTGACAGGAGGGTCTTACGCTACTTCTATACTAAAAAAAAAATTAATTAAAAAAATAGATTCAGTAAAATAAATACTCGACTGCCACTTGAAGTAAACCACGGACAGGACACAAATAATAACACGAATAATTTAGTAACAGTCAGAATAAGTGCAAGAGAATAAACTTAATAAATCATGAAGTTTCGATGACTAAGTGTCAATTCATTGCACGCAGTAAACGGTCTTTGAAAATAACATTTATAACCAAGTCCGATAACTGCGTGCAAACACAATAATGGCCTTTAAAATTATTTTAAAAAGTTAAAATTAGTTACTTATTAATAACAAAGTTGGCTTACTTAACATATAATTGTACAATCTGCTTGCCGTTTTGAAGTGGTATTGAAACTTAACCTAGTTATCACACTACTTCGCGACGGTATTACTTTTATGAATATAATCTGTCGATATATTGTCTAAACAATTTTATGCTGCTACATATTTTAACTATGGGACGGAGTGGTCTAGCGGTAGAGAGCTGGACTTCTAACCCGTAAGTCTCGAGTTAGAATCCGTGTTCAATTCAGTAGAACGTCACTGAGTCCACCAAGGGTACCTAACTCAAGTTAGGGAAAGTAAAGGCGGCTGGGCATAGTGCTGACCACACTATCTCTTCATATGCCGAGGTCACAGAAACAAGTGAACTCTACTTCACTTGCTCTATAGACCAGGGGCGGAACTACAGTGCCGCCAGACCCCACAATGCGGGGTGGCCCAGGCCGTTTAGGGGCCCACGGCCGGCCATAATCAATTTTGTAATAGTTAAAAAAATAATTTTCTTGTAAAAAAAACAAACAGATCTACTACAGTAGTGATATTCTACAGTAGCTAACACACGCTGTTTCGTAAAGAAAAAAAAATATAGGCTTCATGAGTTGTAGTGTGAAAGATAGGCAAATGTTCAAACCACTCACATCACTTATTTCCCTTTTTAAATAGTCAAATATGTGTGCTCTTAAGAAACTTTTAATAGATTTGCACTTAACAAATTAAAAAGCAATTACTTCTCTCAATTTAAAAAAAAAATACATAATAAAGAATGACATAGTATAAGAAGGAAATGTATTAAAAACTAATAATGCAAATACAAAAAAAAAACCATAAAAATAAACATAAGGCGATAAACCATTACACATACAAAGCATTCATGCTTCATATTCTTTTGACCGACATGTAAATGATGAAGCACTATGTCAGACATTGAAACACAGAATTTCAAAACAGACTAATAGCACTCGCACAAATGTTGTGTTGTTGTAACATATATTAATTAAAAATAAAAACTAAGAATTTTAATGTATTCAAATTTCGAACAAGCCTATATTGAATAATATAAGTTCATATTTTCTTATTTAATTTATATATATATATATATATATATATATATATATATATATATATATATATATATATATATATATATATATATATATATATATATATATGTGTGTGTGTGTGTGTGTGTGTGTGTATGTATTTATGGGGCCCAACATTTTTTTTTGCGGGGTGGCCCTTTTTTTCTAGTTCCGCCACTGCTATAGACCATCAGGTTTGAAAGGGGAAATTTACTTACTTTTACATATTTTAACTAAACACCACACTTTTGTATCTGGGGTTTGTTATTTTATAAACCTAAATATATTTACTAATTAATTAATATTACTTCTCATGACGTAAAATAAAAATAAAATTCTCATTACATTATTAAAATGATTTTTTTTTTTTACAAATTTGAAATGATCTTTTCCTGTTCGTGTTGAAGAAACATGGACGGATGAAGTAGAGTTCATCTGATGCAGTAACCTCGTCATTGATACTGTGGTCTGCAGAGTATCTTCCAAGTATCTCTTCCCCCCCCCCCCCCCCCCCCCCGAAACATTTTTACCGCCCCCCCCCCCCCAAACGAAATGAAATTTATATAATTTAAATAGAAAATATATACTTTTAACAGTGTACCCCCCCCCCCCGAAGAAAGTCTACCGCCCCCCCCCCCCCAAATTTCAAGTGCCCCCCCCCCCCCCCCCGGAGAAAAAAATCTGGAAGAAACACTGGTGGTCTGCACGATGTCCAGCCACCTTAGTTTCCCTATCGTGATTCGGGAACTCATCAAAGTTGGGTGGACTGAGGGAAGTTCATCAGACTCGAGCCCGGTATCCGAACTCAAGACTTTCGGGTTAGCAGTCGTTAGCTCTAACATCCAACGCTTAGATGCATTCCATATAGATTGCAAGTTCCAGATGTGCTAAACGTGAAACATGAAGGTCTTATTGTCCTAATCACGCAGTTCAATGTATGATACAATAAACATTTTCACCTCGCGTTACGGCTATTGGATTACTGGGAAGCCATGAAAAGATAACGTACAAGCAAGGATTTGAAAGAGGGCTACCACCTACTGTTACAACTAAATCCAGTTCAATTAAAGCCTCTAATACTTTAACTACAGCGCTAATTTAAACTCATTTGAGATGTTTACATTTACATTACTCTGATGGATACTAATCTCTTCTGTTGCAATATAAAAAAAATATCTCAAGAGGTAAATAAAAGGTGTTCTATTTTTTTACCCTTAAAATTAAATTAATCGTGTTACATCAATTTTTGGAATTCGCATTTCCCAGCTATTTTTGAAGGACATCAAATGCTACACTACATGTTGATGTCATCCAGTGCAACAAGTCATTTTGGTGTCATCCAGTGCCACACTACTTGTAGTATCATTAAATATTCAATCGTAATATATGGCATTGAACCTTATACAAAAAGATTACACTCAAACTCACATACAAGCAAAAGCAGAACATATTAACACGCAAAAGCAGAACACATTAGGTTTATCAAACTTTATTAATCATCAGATAATGGAAAAAAATCAAATTAAAAAACATATCCTGGTCGATACGTTAAGGCTAACGTCAGCACCTCACAACAGACCAACAGAGTAAAACGTTTGATCGTTGAACTTAGGCTGAAAAAAAAGAAACAAAGTTCACATGTGTGTCGTAAAAAATGACAACAGCACTGTCTTAACACGTAATCACACACGTATTGTGTGTGATTGCTGTACAAACATTCAATCTCACACACTCATATTTGGTAACACTCAAAAACAAAAAGGGGACTGGGCTTAGTGCTCAACACACTATCCTTTTATATGTCGAGGTCACTGAAATAGGGGAACACTACTTCACTTGCACCATGAACCGCCGACAGGGTACTTTACTACTTACTTACAAAAACAAAAGAAATGTTTGAATATTGATTAAAACATTGATTAAACTCAATT